GACACCAAAAACTCCCAGTCAAGAGTACGACAGAGTTATGAAACACCTAAGGACCTACAGCTGTGGATTACAGCGTGTTTCATGCAACATACTTGCACCACACATTTAAAATACAGTTTAAAATACAAAGCAGGCCTTTAAGATGTGGCTCTCCATACAACCACTTTATTAGGTGAGCATACCTTTGAAAACTGAATGGAGAAACCCCAAACCCACAGATCATGACTGACACACTGCTGGCCCGCCAGGGTAGAAAAGTCTCTATGTGAACGTACAAAAAATTCGTACCGTGGGGTTTTTAGTATTTTTTGTGAATTCCCACTCCCTTTTGTACCACAACCTTGGAGTTCTATAAGGAGAAAATAATTGAATCATAAAGTGCACCTGGATACTCCAGGTGGCCAAAATGTGGATGAAATACCTTGTAATTAATTTATTGGTGCGTAACTCCAGGAATTAGGGAGCATCACTTCACAGTACAGCCTCTGGTACAGCAAGACATCAATATCCCGTTATTCTTCACCACTTGAACGATGCTGATTCTCACTAATATTGCATATATTTAGGCTTGTGATGCTAGGATTGTATCAGTATACCACTATTACTAGTGACAGCACTTGCAGAAACTAGAGCTATTCTTAGTCCACACACACATGGCAGAAGCAATGTGCCACTTTCTTTTCTCTAAACACTTCACAATCCCTTTTGAACTACATTTCTCCCCACAGTTTGAGAATCACTGCACTAAATCAACAATCCCCAAGGGTCCAGATTTACGTCTGAAACCCAAACCGATTTGAAAGTTCCCTTTAAAAAAAAAAAAAAAAAAAAAATCTTACTGGTTTCCTTTTCATATACAGTGAAGTACAATGACTTCTCTGAAGAAAACAAAAATTAAAATGACACTTATAGCATACACCAGCAGAACAGAAGACACAACTTGAAAGATATTCTTAAAATATAAACTTGCTGACTAAATCTAAACCTTAGAGAAAGCATTAACGTAAAGCAGCCCATGGTTCCTCCCATGTGCTGCACTGCCTTAACATGAAATTGTCCTTTGACAGCGTTCCTGTAAATTTTGCCCACTGTACCAGATTTGTGCTTTGAAAAGAAAACACAGCGTTCCCCCCCACCCCCCATTTTTTTGACTAATATAAACATTCACACCTGCTAATTTAAACTATATTTAATGATCTCATAGATAAAAGTAAACCTGGAGGAAGTGACAGTACGGAAAAGTTTAATTACAAACCATTCCCTTCTGTTGGAACAGTGTTTACCTCCAATGGTGAAGAAGTTCATCCTTGAGTTTAGAGAAATCTGGTTTTAGTACGACTTTAGTGGATTACCTAAAATATTTTGTGCTATAGAAGAACCCCAGCAGCTGAGAATGAGTTATACATAATGGGCACAAATTAAAGCATGCAAATTTCCATCTGAACACATGAAGTAACGTCCTCTTATGAAATGGCTAATTCTGTGACAAATAAACAGAAGACAGGAGAGATTAGCCAACATCCAGGTTCACCTGTACAGAGCCCGTGTGGCCCTGCTCTTAACATCTTCCAGAATAATCAGCCAGAACACAGGGAGAAGATAACATGCAGGCAGCATCTACCAGTCAATTCTTCCTCAGATTACACCCCTAAAAAATCCACAAAAAGATCCCAATGCAAACTCAGACACCAACCCTTTTCCATTCCTCCCCCTACACAACAGGAAGACTTATAAGTGGAAGATGATCCCTATACCCAGCTCTTAAAATCATAATCAAACCTTTTCATTAAAAATTAATTTTGACCAGGTACAAGTATTGCCAGTAGGGATTTATGCAGGAGGGAAGAGTCTAAATGTTATCTTTCTAATTTATAATTGAGGAAAGTGATGGAAATGGGGGGGAGGGAGGAAGCCAAATGAAAAAAAACCCCACGTATTCTGGAAGAGAACAACTGAATTCAGCCAAGTCCATCTCTCAAGGAAAAACAGAAAAGTACATTAGCTTGCACATGTTTTTAAATCAGCTTTAATTAATACAGGCAGCAGTCAGTTGCTAGGTTTACTGCAACTTAATTAGTCCCTACCTGGTAAGAGAGAGGGCAGTAAATAATATGCTGTTTGTCCTCCTTGTTTAAAGCAACTTTGCAGGAAAAAAAGCAGTTGTAAAACCCTGGCATCAAATAGTACATTTCAATGAATGAGAAGAAAGGTTAGGCAGAGAGGATGGTTCTGAAAAGCACTTAATTATATAGTAATTGTGCAAGCAAAGAGTCTCTTTAACTCAGCAAGACTAATTTTGTATGATTAAAGTTATAACCATCATTGATGAACCCAGGTTGACAAACTTACAGAAATGTAGTGGGAAGCATCAACTAGAAAAAACTCTGTGCCTCATCAAATCCATGTTTTCACAAGTCATCAGCCTGGATGGGAGGTTTTTTAATGTAAAGTTTAATAACATTTGGTGGAAAAAATGCCTGTGAGTTCTTTTCAGGCCCAACACATCCCAGTACACCACTGTCAATCACTGTGGTTTCACAATGTCATTTCCTCATTTTGAAAATATTTTGTTCTCGTCATTGCTAAGCAAAATATGCATATACACAGCAGGCAAACTGGGATACTGTGCAACCGAATATAAACAAATGCTACCAAGCATATACAACAAGCAACCTAAAAAAAACCCCAGAATTCCCTCTGATTTCTCCTATGGTATTTATACTTCAATATTTGGAATAATCTCAGTACCCTGAAAGATAAAGAACTTGCGTCATGCTGCAGTGAGGTTTTTTGGTTGTTCTTTTTAAAGTAATAACACAGTGCTGTTCTTTTAAATACTGTTTTTCTTGCTGGTAAGAGATCAGAGAGGGAGGAAACTGGTAAGGCAAAGTTTTCAGGATTTTCTGAATATATGCCAAATAGTGCTTGAATGAGCAGATCCCACCTGGGAGACAAGCACTGGCTGCAACGTCTGGTCAATGAGCAAGTCATTTCTCTTTTCTGCCCTCCTTTTCCCTCCTCCCCTTTATCATCTCTGACAGCTAGCCATCTGAGGTATGAATCATCTCCTCCACTACAGCTCTTCAACTAACTTGATGTTTGGAAGGAAACAGATTGGGGAAAAGTTAGCATTAAGCAAACCAAAGGCAGAGCTGGGCGTTTAGAAACATGTATGTTTCCAGGGCTCATTCCCACATCCATGAAAAAGGTAAATGTGCATGTCTGTGTGCATGGGAATTAAGAAGGCATGTTTCTTTCCCATCTTCATTTCTTGTTACCACTTTCCATGTCAGAAAGGTGAGGGATGAGACCTTCAAAATTCACTCCTCCATTTCCCCTTGCATCAGGAGCAGGCTGCTGTTAGCCTTCTCCCTTTCAACCTTATTTTCCCTCCTCTTCCTCCTCCTCCTCCCCATCAAGTGGCATGAAGAAGCTTACAGATAACTTGGCAGGCTGGCCTGCAGGAGTTCTACCCAACACAAGTCAGCATTGATCTTTCTTGTCCCCTCTAAATCTTATATTAAAAAAGTAAAAAGAAAAAAAAAAAAAAAGCTTCCAGGACAGTAAGCTAATATTTCAGATAAAGTATGAGGTTTTTTGGAGAGCTACTTTAAGCCATTTTGTAAATTAAAATGAATCATTTTTGTATTATGTTACTGCTGCTTGTAAGGAGACTGCATAATACTTGTTCATTTTTGTCCCCACTGTACTTGGTAGCAATAAGCTGTTGTTCATCATGACTAACACACATCTTTCCCTGAACACAGTGTGCACAGTGTCTACCATTTGTTATGTAAGAAGAAAAAAGTAAAACATTCTTCACTCCAGAAGGTAAGAGATTTGTATCTGTAGATACAGCTTTACTAGAAAATTTCAGCAAATTAAAATGGAGAAGCTTGTCAGGTCTGGAAATCAAGCTTCCTAACTGTTTGGGAACTCCCCTTTCCTCTAAAGGGGCTTTCAGAGCGCCTAAAAATCATACTGCTCTTATCCCAGCCACCCTCTAGTACCATGTTTTTCCAAGTTCACAGAGGAATTTCGCAGCCATATGCTACAAAAGGGTTAACTGGAAGTGAAAATGATTGCACTGCATGAAGAAATTAGGATCCCATTTCAGTAAAACATTTTCAGCATTAATTCAAATTTTCTCCTCTCCAATAGAACTTTATAATGTACTCGGTCCCCAGATACACTAGGGTCTAAAGTACATTATGAAATGCTTTCCTTCACTGTGTACTATTTAGAGAAATAATAATTATTCTAAACAGGTAACGTGCTGTATGATTTCAAAACGTTACGGGCAAGCTGTTCAATATTAAAGAGATTGCTTTTAATATTAATATGTGCTACAAAAACAATCTTGGAGAAGTCCAGAACATAAAACACAGCACTTGTATAACTTGATTTGGTTCGTTCCCCCCTCACCCCCAAATTTCCTACAAAGACTCTTTAATTCATAATTTTGAATTCGTTAGCTTCTGTACACTGCCTCCAATCAGTCCACGGGGCCACTGTATTAGAAGGAACCCGCTAACCAGGACAACACCTGAAATTCCTGTATGGAACAGCAAAGACGCTCCTGCTCACAGTGCACCACTAGTTAAGTTCCAAAATCTGCACTTGCTGCAGCCATTCAGTATGATCCTACTTCAAATGCAAAACACCAACTAAAAATTTGAGGACTTTCCACCCAGAGGTAACGACATTACCACAATTTTACAGTTGAACAAATGAAGGCACAAGTGTTAAGTGGGTCACACGAGCAGCAAATGCCTTATTTAAGCAGCTGTTTAAAAACAAAAAGCAAATTAAAAAAAACCAGCCAAATACATCGAAAACATTAAGCAGGAAGAGAGGAAGAAGGTTACACCCCTTCCAAAAAACGCCTTCTACCACATACACGCTCACAGAAACATACGTGTGCATCTAAGTAAACATAACTGCAGAAAACAACTCATTTACGCAGAGGGCCGACCGCGCACACGTACACAGGCACTTACTTGATCTATTTCCATTAACTTGGGGAAGGCACCTGGCCATTCGATCGCCACCTTCACTATATCAGCAGGAGGGGGCATTGCGATGCTGCTGTTCTTCGGAGCCAGCACAACTGGACACTAAATACTGCAGAGAGTCTCTCTCATTCACACCTGCAGGGAGAAAAGGGGAAAAAAAAATATAGCAGTTCAGACAGAACTCCAGTGCTGCTGCTTCAGCTCCTACATTTTGCCTGTCTGGGCAGGTGGATGAAAATGTATGACTGTATGTATGTGCCTGAGCAGAAGAATGGCACATATTACAGGAGCAAACACAGGACGCAACGCCAAGACGTGCTGCACAGCCCGACAGCCTGTTAGAAAGATGGCTGAGGCACTGAAATGTACGGTGAATAACAGGCATGCATTAGATTTAAATAGACAAACTATTTTTAAATGTTATTAAATATGGTGGGGAAAAGCGACAAACTAGAGGAAGCTCCTGTTACAGTGTCACTCCTGAAGTCCCAGGGAACGTGATGGAATCAGTTAAAGCTGGCGCTCCGGGAGAAGAGATTGCCCAGGAAGTTATGGCCAGGAAACACCGTTTCTTTTAACTGTAGCAATGATCTTCTGGGTGTTCACAAATAGATCACTGCACTATAGCAACCAGGATGTCAGGAAGACGGCAGAACACACAGCAGTTTCCACATATACATACATCCTCACCTAACAGAACCAGAGATACCTGTATACAAATAAATACTTCTTTAAGGTAAATCTCAGACATATGGATACACAAGGATACAGTATACATTAACAGTGATATAATCAGCTACATAAAATGTCATAGCTCTGCAAGAATATGCACATCAATAGGATCTCATGTCAAACAGCACAGACTGGAAATTTTGGGGAAGGGAAAGAAAGGTGAAGAACCAACTCCCCAGCTCTTGCAGGATGTAAGTTCTGTCTCTTTTGCCTCATCAAAGTTTGTAACCTGGCAATAACAACAAACACTTTTCAAGTGGGTGTAGTGCCTTCCTGAGCTTGCGAACAAACCTTCTGCACCCCTCTCCCAGCTCAGTGGTAGCAGGACCGCCACAGAGGGAGCAAAGCTCTGCAGTCTCAGACACGGCACCCCGTGCACCCTCCTGCAGGCTGTGGGGTTCCTGCTTGCTTGGCCAGGTCCTCCGTGCTGACTGCGGCATCTCCCACGCGCTCCACTGAGACCCAGCAAAACGCCATCACGTATGACAAACGGAGAGATGCTGCAGAAGTCCCCAGAGGTGCAGTCCCACTTCTTCTTAGCAGAAAAGAGAAGGAAGTGGTGAAAGCATGGACACACGCTTGCACATGTACCCTTTTAAAGAGCTAAGGCAAGAGATGAGCTGACAGAATATACCAGACATCCAAAAGCCACAAACAGGTCCAAGAAAAGAAAGGCTCCGACAACCATCATTGCTTCTTCAACTAACCGAGTCTAACAAGCCTTCTCCAATTACAGCAGAAGCACCAACTCAGATCAGCCTGAACAAAATCACAAAACCATCCCTTTATAAAGAAATTTTGTACCTTCGTCTCACACCACTTATAAGTGGGAGTTCATCCAGCCTCTGGTCCACTCTGACAAGACCCAGTCCTCCCCATTTGCAAGCCCTGTTACATTCTACACGGGGCTCTCAACACATGCTACAAAAGCAACTGATGAACTTTAACACCCCAGCAATTTACTTCCAACAATGGCAGCTCTGATGCCAGCAGGATCGCACACCACCACAAAGCGAAGCGCGAGGCAGTAAATAAGACAATGGCCAGTCTATAAATAAGACAGGATTGGAGGAAGTGCCTTGAAAGGCCTAAACAACGTGATTAAGGAACACAGGGATATTGTCTACACTTGGTAGATGTTACAGGGACAGGGAATAAACACAATTAAAGCATGCAATAGTCATAAGAATAGTCACACATTGACTTTTGCCTGTCTTTTCCCCCCCAGAGCCTGCACGGGTGCAGAGTTCCTGCCATTTCTCCCCTCTCACCTCACGCTCTGGCAATTTGCATCTCCCCCAACCTCTCCCCTTGCTGCACAGCGCCCTGATTCAACAACCAGCAAAAAAAGAAATTTCGGTCCTCTGGTTTCTTACCATGTTCAAGTCAAACAGTTTCCCAGAGGGGGCACAACATGGAGGTGGGGGGAAGGAGAAGTGAGACCTGTTGGCAGCAATGAGCTGTTAATCCACCTCGACCGACAAACGAAACCGAGACCTTGGCGCCTTTTTGCTCCCACACACACAGCGCTGGTGTTCCCCAGCCTCCTCGGTAGGCTCAGCCTGGTGACGTTTTGGTATTAAACTGCTCACAGAGCTTAAGCAGAGCTGGCTGACCCGGTGTCTGACTGACAGGCTGCTCCCCCATTCCCTGGCACGGCACCGCATCCCTGGCACGGCACCGCATCCCTGGCAGGAAGGATGCTGGAGCCTCAGCCAGGGCCGGAGTTTACTGGCTGCAACACAAAAAGAGTAGCGGCAGGTCCTGCCGGGCAAACTTGACTGTGAATAGCTTCAGATGAGTAAGACCTTAATTTGAAGGGTTTTATTTTCACCTCATCGTGTTTATTCTATAGTTTTAATGAAAAAAAAAAAAAAAAGAGACATCTGTTGGCCACATATCTACAGAGAGAGAAGGGAGACCTATAAAAACCACAGAGCCCACCTAATGCATGGGCAAATACACTTTCTTTTAACTGGGAAGACAAGGAAGCAACTCAGAGCACTGTCACCTCTCACAGCAAGAAGCAAAGGGAAGGTACCTGGCAGCCCAATGCCTCCCCTTGGAGGTTAGCTAACTCCAAAGCTCACAATGAACACCAGACAAAAAAACCCACCTTGATTCATGACCACTGGCCAAAAGCTTTACCAAAGCAAAACAACATCATGCAGCAATAAATTTGCAGAAAACTTCCACTCCCACATACAAATGTGGACATTAAGCTTCATTTTGCTTTAGCAAGTGGTGGTCAGTCTTCACAAGTCACACAGGGAGAAAGGAAAAGGTTTAAGACAGAAGAGTCAGGGAAAGTTGATGGTAAGTTAATAAAATTCAGCTACGGAAAATAAGTATTTGCATCTCAAAGCAAGGTACAAGAGAAGACTGCCAGAGCATTCAGAAGACAATTTCAGTATGACTAGTTTTTAATGCAGGCTAGCACGGACTTCCTACATATAATTATAAATATAGAAATGCTGATACAGTCATAAAACACAAAGCAAAATGACAGATCTTTAACTAATACAAATGGATGTAGTTCCCACTTCTCCCACCAGGAGAAGAGCAACTCTGAGACATCAGTGCGAATGCTGAAAAGCGTATATAAAATCATCACTAGAAATTTCTTTCTGTTTCTCGGTGGACATCCTTGTCCAATGTTCTGACTTTTTTTTCCTAGTTTATAATCTTATTAATCCAATGCAGGATCCAAAAGATAATTTAGTCTCATCCTACCTATGTGGCAATGCCAGAAACAAATATTCTTTTTTTTTTTAGGCCAAAATAGATGTTTAGTTGTCATTACAAAATTATGATTGCAAAGAAAATTCTGCAATCTACAGTGCTGACAGCCACAATTACCTACTATTTGTTCCAGTGGTACGCAGTGTGCTAGACACTGCCCAGTAAAACAAGGAAGGCACAATCCCTGGTGTGAAATGCTTCCAATTTAGTAAGCAATTTTCATTATGTGAATGAAGAAATAAAACCAATTTGAACTGCTTGTTGTTATGCCAGCAGCAGTCAAGCAGTGAAAAGGACACAAATGTCACTAAAAGGTCTAGTTATGGAGTTTTCTCAAGTGCAATTCCTTATTGTGTCCCTGTGGGATCTGAGAAGCACTGACATGTAAGAGCAACTTTGCAACTCATTTTTACAACGTTTATTTTCAAGGCAGAATCTGAGGGAAAAAGGATGCATGTGCAGGCATGAGTGTATGAAAGTGGAGAAGGGGTCTAAGGGAAAGGACAACTTCCCATTATTTTCCCTTCCCAGCTGTAACCTGGAGGAGGCTTACACAACCTCCATGCTCAGCAGCACACTATTTTATAATTTGAGGGAAAAACCCCCACAACCAAAACATCCCTACTGCTTGAGTACCCTTTCTTCCATCAATAGGGTTTTTCAGAACTATGACAGATTAGCCCATTAAAGTGCAAATTCTGAAAGTTATTGTTATTACCACATACAGTACATTTCTGCATTTCAATCATGCTATACAGTGCTTTCAGCAGTCTACTAAGTCAGAGTAATAAACACTCAAGTTGGAAATCAAAGTATTTTAAATTTAATGCAAAAAAACATCATCACAGACACAAAAGCTCTCAGCTTACATGCCTGGCTCTGAGGGAGCACATACATCAGTAAAACACTGAATCTTCCCCTTATACATTGCATGTGGAAAACAGGATTTTATTTGTGTATGAAATTAGTTCTCAGTAGAACTCTTTTTTTTTAACTTGTTTTGCAATTTCCCTGGCACCTTCCATACAAGGATCTCAAAGTACTTTAAATAACTTGTAACTATCAGAGCACATCTCTCACAAAATAAAAGCTATTCTTATTCTACAGACAGAAGGAAAAAAAATGCAGGCTAATAGGAATTACGTGACCTGCAGTTCTAGTTGTATATGAAGACAGCAGCCCACAACAGCTTGTTTCTTCTTTTACACAACAGAGGTAATACTCAAACAGCAGGCCAGGACATTTCATCAACAGCTCCAGCAGGGAAGTTAATGATTAAAAAGCAACTGAAGGGACGTCACGTGCGTTTGAGAATTTAATAAAACAAAGCACGTGTTTCTCCTCCCTGGACAAAAGGCAGCATATATCGGAATCACCTGGAGCTGGCACAGATGCCCCCAGTTTCCCCCTCGCAGGCAGGTTTTCCCGCTGCTCCGGACCTTACGTAAGTCACCACTTCTTGTCAAACCTCATCAGCTTCCTCCGCTGGGCTCCCGCCGCCCCAGCAAACAGGAACTTAAGCAGCAAGTTCAGCTGGAAGGTCCCTCAGGGACCAAGACTGATTAACGATTTTAGAAAGATAATCCAACACTGGATTAATATCCCCCAAGAGAGTTATTTTTGGAGTTAAACTGCATGAGTGAACATCCGCGTCTAAGGAG